TCCTTTGATAACTCCCCACTCTATTATCCTCCCCTATCCTTTAGGTGATAAAATCTTGTTCTTTTGAGAAGATTACAATCGCTGCTCATCTTAGGGGATCAGGAAAAATCCTTCTAGCAACTATAAATAGGACCATGAGCCTTCATTGAAGCACAGTACGCCAAACCAAAGGAAAAGGGCTTAAGAAGAGAGGAAAAAGAAAATCACAATATCTGCGGTAAGGTAGTTGTCAGTAAGTAGCCTTTTTCTTCTGCTTTTATTCATAAGAGGCACATGGAGTCCGGAACCAAAAAAATGATTCTTTTGGATTCAAAGAATCAAAATGTGTGGAAAAAAAATCGGTGACCAATATATATATAAAGCCTTAGCTAAATGTGTTATACCTTAACAGTCGTTTGCCCAATTAAATATAGAGCTCTTATATAAGGCGTTATATATATAAAGCCCTAACGTACCGCACTATATATATTATGTGGGGCCACCAATAATTTTTGTGGGCTTAACTGACATAACAATAATTCAACTGGGTATAGCGCCTTAAGCTAAGGCGCCATACCTCAAATAATTATATCTCTGGATTGGTTATTGCCTTATTTAAAGAGGTTAAGGATTTTATAAAAATCCATTCATAAATATTTTCAAGTCTTCTAAAAAAAAATTCGTTAAGTTATTTTGCATTTTGTCATAATGTCTGAAGAACAAAGAATTAGGGTTTCATTATATTGGGGGGAGAGGGGGTTGTGGTGGCGAATAACTCAGTAAGCTATAGTTTATCTCCACAGTATCATATTAAGTTGCCACTTACAATGGAGTACGATACATTGGTATCGTTGTTATGTAAAAAAAATGAGTGTGGGCAAACGTTCGGTGAATATTAAAGTAACCGGAAGATATCTGTATTCTGTGACTCCGCAAGGGGTTTCTTGTTATGCTGAGTTTAACATGAAAGACGATGAAACTCTAAGAGATTTTTTGAGGACTTCGGATGAATATTGGAAATTTCTTGTGATAAAACTGTTGAAAATGTAAGTCAAGGCTGAAGACGTTCGCAATAATGGGGTTGCGCAAAGTAGGGATATCCCTCAATCATCGGGTGGTTATTTTGGAGCAGTTTTAGCCGAACAAGTTCTGAGTGAAAGAGTTTGGCATGATTTAAACTTATCTCCACGAGCGAATGAGGAGCGACGAAATAATTTGTCTCATAGTTTACATGATCCATAATCCGATTGGTAAACTTCAATTTTTCTTTGTGTTAAGATGTATATTTTTATGCATTGAATTTGTATTAACAGTCATATATCCACAGGGAATACCGGCCAGATATGAATTTTACAAGTTATGAACCAACGCCACTTGGAATATGCCTAGTTTTGGTGTGTTGAATCATGGTGGTCCATCCGGCAGTCATCATCAACAGGATAATGTCCATCATGGGATATCAACACATTATGATTTGTAAGTGAATTGATAAAGCTATATGTAAAGTTTGGATCAATTTGAGTAACTTATTATTTTATCGGTTGTGCAGTGAAAACTAGCAACTTGAAGGTCCTGTCCTTACTCAATTGTCCGAAGACGACATATTTAATCGGGATTTGGAAGATGCACAGAATCAGGAAGAGAATAGTGATTATGACAACAATGCCGATGAGTCTGGAGATGACACACCCATTCCCTGATGAGGGTGATGATGATGAGGAAGAGAATGTTGAACTTGATTTGACGAGGGAGCATGCTCTACCTCCCGTTAGACCAAGAGTGTACGAGTCCCACGTATCATTTCATTCAAGGGAGATTCCCTACCTTGATCATTTGCCAAGTATGCCGGATGCGGATGCCCTCACAAGGGATATTGACGAAATTCGGATAGCAATGTGGGATGAATCTAGAGCAACAATGTTGTCAAAAAGCATGCTTTCTCATGATAAAGCGCGCCTAAGTAGGGAGGTGCGAATGTACAACATAAAAGAGTGTCGTGAGATGATGGTAGCAGAGTCATCTCTGGATGTATACAAGGTTATTTGCCGTAGATGATTTGCGGGCTGTAATTGGATTATGCGTGTGAGGAAGAAGAAAACAAATATGTGGGTTGTGGGTAAATACATTGGCACCCACAATTGTGAAATGAACACATTCAGTGGGAATCACTTTAACTTGGATGTTGACTTGATTTCTCTTGTCGTGATTCCACATATTGAAGCGTCCATAAGGTACAAGATCAAAGAGTGTATAACATCTGTCCACCAGGAATATGGGTGTACCATTACCAAAAGAAAGGCCTTTCTGGGACGCAAACGTGCGTTTGAAATTATTTATGGTAACTGGATAAGTCCTTTGCATTTCTACCCAGGTACATGGCCATATTCCAACACTTTAACCCCGGGACTGTTGTTGAATAGAAGCTTGAGCAAAGTTCGAGAATACAAGAACATATATTCAGATATGTGTTCTGGGCATTTAAACCCGCAATTGATGGTTTTGTGCATTGCCGGCCGGTAATATCCATAGACGGCACTCATGTCTATGGAAAGTATGATATTAAGTTGTTGATAGCCGTTGCAGTAGATGCTAATGGAAGTATATTTCCCTTAGCTTTTGCTATTTATGCCAATGAAAGCCAAGAGACGCGGACACTATTTTTGAACCACTTGAAGGAGTATGTTATCAGACAACATTAAGGTATTTGTCTAATATCTTATCGGCATGGCAGTATTTTAAGTTCTATACAGAATTTTCCTGCATGGCAGGAACTGTATGCCTACCACTGTTACAGTGTGAGGCACATGAAGGCCAATTTCTAGAAGGCATATCCCAACAAGGACTTGCATGATTTAATGTGGATGGCTGCAACGGATCACCAAGAGTGTAAATTCAGGAGGCGCATGGAATCGATCAGGTAGGAAGACAAAGGAGCTTATCGTTGGTTGATGCGAGATGAGCTTGACAAGTGGACATTGCATGCGAATGGTGACAGAAGATGGAGAATTCTGACTACAAATGTGTTAGAGTCTTTCAACGGGTTATTGAAGTCTGCACGTGGATTGCCTGTCACTGCCATGGTGCGGATGTCATTAAAGCAGATAGCGGAGAGGTTTGTTGAAAGGGCTAGAGGTGCATCGTCATTGATGGAAAGGGGTGTTGAATCTATGCCAATACCAATGAAAATATTTGAGAAATACAGGAGGTGAGCATATTGGCATTCATATTTATAGTATTGCAACGAGCGAGTTATTTTTGAAGTTCGCACCGCTATCCATCAAACCGGGGGATTAATACATGCACCTTAAATGAAGACAGAAGGTTATGCTCTTGTGGGAAATAGTCCATCTATCACATGCCGTGCTCACATGCCATGAAGTGTTTTCAACATACAGGCTTCGCGACAACCAGCTCCTTTGATAAAGAATATACTGTTGTTGCATACTTAAACACCTATAGTGGACAGTTGTAGCCAGTAGGTGCTGAACATTATTGGCCGCCGGAACCATTTAAAAGGGTGTGTAACAAGGAGTATTTGCGTCAGCGATAAGTGCAAAAGGGAACGCGTATACGGAATCAAATGGATGTTGGTGATACCGTTTATGCATGTAAATGTGGCATATGCTCACAAACAGGACACGAT